TATGATAGTATACATAAGTTACCCTAAAAAACATTCCACCAGGGAACTCCTACACCTGATAATGCTTTCTGCACAATAGTGGGATATAAAATTAATTCACAAAACTAGTAGGCCTCCTATATACAAATGACAAATGGAATGAGAAAGAAATCAGGCAGACAACACCATTCACAATAGTCTCAAATAATATAAAATATCATGTGGTAACTCTAACCAAGGAAATGAAAGACTTGTATAATAAAAACATTAAGGTATTGAAGTAAGAGATTTGTGTTGTTTTTGAGACAGGGTTTCTCTGTGTAGCACTGGCTATCCTGTATCCTGGAACTTGCTCTGTGGACCAGGTTGGCTTTGACCTCCAAGATCTGCCTGCATCTGTCTCCCAACTGCTGCGATTAAATGTGTGCACTATCACCACCCTGCTGAAGAAGATGGAAAGCTCTCCTATTCTCACAAATCAGTAGGGTTAGTATTGTAAAGATGACCATCCTACCAAAAGCAATCTACAGATTCAATACAGTCCCCACTAAAATTCCAACATGATTCTCCCCAGAAATTGAAAAACCAATGTTCAGCTTTATATGGAAATACAAAACACCCAATATAGCTAAAGCAGTTCTGAACAACAAAACAACTGCTGGAGATATCACCACCCCTGATTTCACTGGTAAAAAAGCCATAGAAATAAAAACAAAATGTCACTGAATAAAAATTGATTAATTGAATAGAACTGAAGACCCAGACATAAGTCCACACACCCAAAGACACCAGATTTTTTTTTACAAAGAACCCAGAAAAACGCACTGAAAAAAATACCAATGAATGGTGCTGGTCAAACTGGGTGTGGGCACGGAGAAGAATACAAATAGATCCATATCTATCACCCTGCACCCTGATTGTAAATAACTCAAGGACCTCAACATAAAACCAGACAGCCTAAATCTGAGAGAAGATAAAGTGAAGAATCGGTTTGAATTCATTGGCACAGGAAAATACTTTCTGAAAGTGGCACAGGCACTAAGATGGACAATTAATAAATGGGTCTGCATGAAAATGAAAAGCTTCTGTACAACTAAGGGCACCCTTATTCAAGTGAAGAATCGGCTCACACAATGAGACAATATTATACCTGCTATACATCTGACAGAGGGTTGGTATCTAGAATATAAAAAAATCCTAAAAAAAAACTAAACATCAAAATAATTTTTAAACATTATTTTAAAATGGGGCAAGAGCCATGTGTAGTGGGCCACGCCTTTGCATTCCATTTCCCTAGCAGTTGCCTCATTTGTGTCTCTCTCCATATTTACTTACAGGAAGTCTCTTTCATCAGTCTTCAAGTTTGTTGTTTCTTTCTGTCATCTTCACCTTTGATAACCACATTTAGCAAGTTTTCATTAAAAGTTCAGGTTTATCATCTCCAATATTAACAACAACATTTCTGTTGTTTTTAAAAGTATTTCACATATTATATTGTGTGTTTATGCATGTGTGTGCATGAAGGCCATGCCACCTGTATGGAGGTCAGAGGAAAACTGGAAGTCTGTTCTTTCTTTCCACTAACAGTGACCCAGGCATAGGTTTCAGGTCCTCTGGTTTGGTGGCAGGAGTCTTTACCCGCTGAGCTATCTTGTTTCTCACGTAGGATTAGCTGAAATCAAGAAAAGGGAAGGGAGATAGTGGACTACAACCTACCCCATCTCCTGGCACACCCTGCCTCCTTGACAGCAGGCAGAACAGCACTTCACTCACCTCAAATAAGGTCTCTCTAGAGAAGGACTATGAAGTAGGGTGGGTAGGGGGCTGGAGTAGATATGAGAGGAGTTGGGGCAGGGAGAAATAAGATCAAAATAGACTGTGTAATATTTTAACGAAGTAAAAAAAATCCCTCTCTTAAGAGCACAAGAAGAGTAGAGGAGAGGAAATGGAGGAGCAGAGATATTGAGTTGGGGGAAGAATAGAGGAGAGAGAGCAGGATGAGAGATACCATATCAGAGGGAGCCACTATAGGTCCGAGAAGAGATCTGGAACTAGGGAGATCTCCAGAGACCTACAAGGATGACATGATCTGACAGTCCAGGCAGTGGAGGAGAGGATGGCCTAGAAGCCCTTCCCCTAGAATGAGATTGATGACTTCTCTTTATGCCATCCTAGAGCCGTCATCCAGTGGATGATGGAAGCAGAGACAGACATCCACAGAAATACACTGAGCTTAAATCTGGAACCTAGTTGAAGAGAGGGAAGAATGAAGAACGAAGGGGTCTGTACCAGGTTGGAGAAACCCACAGGAACAGTTGGCCTGAAAAAGGGAAAGTATATCGACCCCAGATGCTGTCAGGGAGGCCAGTACGGGACTAATCCAACCCCCTGATCATGGATGCCAATGGGCAGGCCCCTGCACTCCTGGGAGCCTCCGGAGGTGGACTGGCATTTTTCCCTGGTGTGTGTGTGGGGGGGGGATTTGAGAGCCCATCCCACGTGAAGGGTTACACTCTGTCTATGGACACATGGGGAAGGGCCCAGGCCCAGCACAGGAAGATTTGGTAGACTTTGTGGAGCCCCTGTTGAGGGCCCTACCCTGCCTGGGGAGTGGTGGGTGGATGGGGTGAGGGGTAGGTTGGGGGTG